AGACCATATTATGTTATAAGGCTAGCCAACTAGCTAACTACCATTAAACAATAACTCTGCATGTGGTGGACCAATAAATCCTAAATGTATTTATGGGAAAAACTCATTATCCACAAGTTACTAATGTTTGCATTTCAACTATCAAGCTATTTACATTTCCTGGTTTCCTGTGACTTTATCTGTCCAGTTTATTTATTTACACCATCTTCACCAACCTGATGTGACGTGGTGCATTTAAAAGCTAATGGCTTAGTGTATTCAGAGTGCACAAAAACATTACTAAGGATAGGCCATAAACTTCTACCCTTGCATTTCTAAGTTTATCTCACACATTGCCCTAATTTCAGCTGCGACCTGACAGTTTGCTCTCGGCGAAAGGAAAATATAAAAATATGGAAATTATTTTCCAAGATGACAAAGTGTTTTTCCAGGACATTGTATAATTTATCTACATTTCCATGCCTGGAAAACTGGATTAAAAAAAATCCAGATTTTCCAGGACCTGTGGGAACCCTGTTAGTGAAGGCACATTTAATGATGGCTGTTGGCAGTAGGCAACAAACAAGCATCCACAACACCAGGACCCTGACGCTGAAGCATCAGAGTAGAATTTAATCATCACTTGTTTCAGTAATTACACCCATGCTTTTCCTGCTGTGACATGTCGAAAGGTCTCATCATAATCCCTAATTCATCCTAATCAAACAGTTGACTTAAAATACACTTGGTGAGGTCCTTGCTAATTTTCTAACCTTAAGTTTTTATAAACAATGTCAGTAATTAAAATTTGACATGTAATGTAACAAATATTAACAAATGCCCAATCAATCCAAAAGCCACAGGGGTTTCTCCGTCTCATTCCCCATAATTAAACCACATTAGGACCATTTTTTGTGCACAGATAACACTGTCAGCAATCACGAGCAAACGTCATCATTAGACATACCATGGTGGAACCAAGGGGGTGGGGGTATGTGTAAGGAAAATCATCAACATTACCTCTGTATTCACCTCCTGTCCTAAAAAAAGTCATGTAAACGTGTGTACATTTTAAATAGACTATACAAATACAATTAATTTGAATTGCTTGGTGAAATTGTAAAAACGCAAATATCACAATTTTGTTGACATTTTTAGTGTGTTCCTTGGTGCAGACAAACTAATCTCACTAGGGATGTATTATATTGGAGAACTAGACAGCATTCGGAGAGCGAAAACCTGCACCAAGGTAGATTCCTGTCCCTATAAGGCAATACTTCCATGATAGTTTGACTCTCATAATAGGATTCCTTGACCATGAAAGCCTACGCCTAGCATTTGGAATCACATTGATATCATTATTAGTTTGAAAGTTATTCAGGAAAAGCTATGTTTCAGTAATGGTGGTTTTCTTCAGGATCTAGCTCACAAACTTATGAAGGAATGTCAAATCTGTCAACTCAGCAACCGAGTCATCAGCTAGAATTTCATCTTTATTGCAAGTCTGTAGCGCTATACGTTGTCTCACAGTAGTGAGTTTTCAAAGAGTCCAATAATGTGAATATTCTGGATCAGCACATCTGGAATATTACCTAGATCCAGATGCTACCATGCAATTTTTCTCCAAGGATTATAGACATGACACATGGACATGTGGAGTCAGAAGCAAAAATATTGAAATTGAAGAATTATTTTTAAAAGATTTCCTCAATCAGGGAAATCGAAACGATTTCCAAAATCAAAGCCACTGTTGCGTGGGCCATACCCTACCTCTCCAAAAAATGTCATCAAAGTCAATTCATTACTTTTGTTGTGAACAAACCAATAAACAAATGCAGGTAAAAACATAATTATGTCAGTGTTGTGCAGAGCTGAGCCAGCATTTCTTAACCCACCTGGTCTCCGGATTATATCCAAGGATATAGAAAAAGGAGTCGATGCGGGCTCTGAACTCCCTGGCAGCAAAAATGTCGGAGAAATGGGAAATGTTGCATTTCCCCCTGTGTGAGAGAAAGAGAGGACAGGTTTTATTAGACAAAAAACAAGCATATGAAAAAGTGATACCCTAGCAGGAGAAGATGTAGCCCTAATTAGAAGCTCTTGTGGTGATCATCTATCAGAGGTGACAAACACAGCAGCAGGTATCCAGTGCCTGTCAGTGCCTGTTGACTTTGCTGGGAGAAATCACCCGTAAACACCAGCAGAGTGTGTCAGCCCTGTCTTGTCTGCTGCAGCTGGGGGAGACAGACGCCACAGTGATCTGGACAGGAATTCAACCTGTCCAGCCCCCCACCCCCACACAAATACCCCCCAATGAGTTGAGAGGGTTGAGGCTCTGACCGCATCTTGATACCGTTTCCTGTTTCCAGCACCCTGGTGTCTGGAGCTCTGTCAAAATAACACACACCAGAGGCATATGGAGCAGGCTGCCTTGCAGAAAAACAGTATCTTCCTCCCCCTGAAAAGATTAAAGAGTGTTGAGGATGGCTGAATTCAGAGAGCTGCCGCATTACAGCATCCCACTGGAATTCCTTCCCATTTATGTAAAGCCTGGAGAGTAAGTTGAATCAAAGGGTGCTCTGTGTAGGAGAAGTTGCTGCTAATTTGCCCTGAAATCAGTGGTTTCTGGAAGACATGACCAAGTACCCACTGCTGTGCTGCTCACAGATGGTTCTGGTTAAGGAAAAGGGGAAGTGGAAAAGGAGGGAAAGGTGGTCAGTCAGGAACAGAAGAAGAGACAGAGGCAGGGACATTAATTAGTAGAATATAGAGTTTCAGAGCTAGAAAATTATTTAGCCTGTATGCCCTTCTCCTGACATAAAGCACTGTGTCAGTGAGTGCTATCAATTCTATGCTGGCAGCTCATGTTCTGACAAGAGTGTGTGGGGGAGTTGAAGGAAGAAGAGCTCTAAGAGCAAAACCACAGGGAATAAGGCGCTGGTTTTTTGGTTACAACAAGCGATATTAACATCAAGTAGCAGCGTTTTATTTGTAAAATAAATGCAGAGTAATAAGTAATTTCCTGTCAATCACAATTAGGCAGATTGAATACTTAACTGAATTATATTTATAATTTAAAAATTCCACTTTTAAAAGGAGAAGTTTTTTTGATATTCTTTTTGAGATTAAAAAAAAAAAAGTGATTAACCTAAAATTACTGGAATTGGAAGAAGTTACAGTCTCTACCAAACATCTCAAAGGAAAGATCTCATGAGATTTATGCCTTGCTAGTTTACTAAGATTCCACAATGTATGATTCTTTGAATCTGTTCGGGATAACTTTTAGCTGTGAAATGACATTTGTAAGGAGATCATCCCAAACTGTACCTCAGTTTTTATTCATTAACCAAACTTAATCAATCTGTCTTACACCTGTTCACCTCCAGAAAATGTTCCTTATGAGTTAAAATCATTGCTGCAAATACAAAACTGTCAGAGGTACTTCTGTCCATTTGTTTTGGGTATGATCATATTCAGAAATTTTGGAAGGAGGTCCACTTTGTGATTCAGGATGTTGTTGTTGAACAGTTTGTAATGTTTTCATCCTTTTATCTGTTAAACCACATCCCAGAAAATATTTTTGATACAGATACCCTATCCCAGTGCATGTTGGACTCTGGCAGGGCTGCCCTTTGTCACCGGTTCTGTTCATTATTTTTATGGACAGAATTTCTAGGCGCAGCCAGGGGCCAGAGGGAGTCCGGTTTGGGGACCACAGGATCTCGTCTCTGCTTTTTGCAGACGACGTTGTCCTGTTGGCCCCATCAAACCAGGACCTCCAGCGTGCACTGGGGCGGTTTGCAGCAGAGTGTGAAGCGGCTGGGATAAGAATCAGCACCTCAGGCCATGGTTCTCAGTCGGAAAAGGGTGGCTTGTTCCCTTCAGGTTGGTGGAGAGTTCCTGCCTCAAGTGGAGGAGTTCAAGTATCTTGGGGTCTTGTACACGAGTGAGGGAAGGATGGAACGGGAGATTGACAGGCGGATCGGTGCAGCTTCTGCAGTAATGCGGTCGATGTACCGGTCCGTCGTGGTGAAGAAAGAGCTGAGCTGTAAGGCTCTCGATTTACTGGTCAATCTACGTTCCGACTCTCACCTATGGTCATGAACTTTGGGTCATGACCGAAAGGGCAAGATCC